ATCTTTGCTATTTTGATGAAGAAATGATGAAGAAATGGGCTGGAGATGATGGATGATGAAGATGGTTCTTTGAGAGCCTCTTGAGTTTTAGAGAGAAAAAGAGAGAGAGAGTTTTCAAAATTTGAAATGAGAAAATGAATTAAAATTGGAGAAAGGATGCTATTTATATGTGGGATTAGGGGGAAGGGGAGGGGATGGCCGGCCATGGGGGCCCAGGCCCACCATCTACATATTTTTTTTTATATAAAAAACTAAAGCCCAAAATGCATAAAATGTCATTTTCTCAATTTTGACATTTTTCTTCAAATTAAAAACCCATGATGACTAAATTCGTTTAAATAGAAAGGTTTTACATTTAAAACACTAAAACTTAGTGTTTTATATAAATTGGGTATAAATTAGAGCATTTGGTACTGTATGGGTTCAGTTAATTTCGGGTCGGAACCGGACTTTCTAAGCAACTACCAAAATTTCTAGGAATTTTTTTTTCGACCAAACTAATCTAACTAACTCCTAATCTTATAAACTATCTTCAATAACACTAATATAAACTTAATAAGAGCTAACCTGGAAGTTCAAATTTAACAGCTGTCACAGTCTCCCCTTGTTAGAGAAATTTCGTCCCGAAATTTAACGACTGCTACTGCCAATGGATTTTTCTGCAAACAGTTGCGGATATTTTCCTTTCATGAAATCTTCTTGCTCCCAAGTGTACTTTGGACCATGTTTTGCATTCCAGCGGACCTTAACAATAGGGACTTTTCTGCTCCTCAACCGTTTAACTTCTCGGTCCAGTATCTCGATTAGTTCTTCAACGAAGTGTAACTGATCGCTAATCTGAACGTCGTCCAGGGGTAGAACTATTGTTTCATCCATTAGGCATTTCTTCAGATTTGACACATGGAACGTGTCATGGATGGCGCTTAGATTTTGTGGCAACTTCAACTTGTACGCCACTGGTCCGATTCTTTCGAGTATTTTGAATGGACCAATGTATCTGGGACCTAGCTTGCCTCTCTTCCTGAATCGTACTAGTCCCTTCTATGGCGATACCTTTAAGAGTACTTTATCCCCCACTTGGAATTCTAACGGCTTTCTCCGATTATCCGCATAACTCTTCTGACAGTCTCTTGCCGTCTGAAGTCTCTCCTTGATGATTGAAATCTTGTCGGTGGTTTCCGGGATAATATCAGGCGTTGTCAACTGTCTATCTCCAATCTCTAGCCAGTTAAGCGGTGATCTGCATTTACATTCGTATAGGGCTTCGTACGGTGCACACTGTATGCTGGTGTGATAGCTGTTGTTATAAGAGAATTCAACAAGGGGCAGATGGGTATCSCAACTCCCACCAAAATMTATTACACACGCACGCAACATATCCTCAAGCGTTTGAATAGTTCTTTCCGATTGTCCATCTGTTTGAGGATGATTGGTGGTGCTATAATCCAAACGCGTACCCAATGCCTTTTGAAGAATCTGCCAAAATCATGATGTAAAACGTGTATCTTGAGCGATGTGCTTCCTCTAAAATTGTTGACCGAAGTTTGTCGTCCTTTGGTATCCAAACTCTATGTCTAAAGTAACGTACTCCATCCGCTCGGGTTTCGAATTCCTTCTCTAGGTGATGCAAGGTCTCATCCTTCAGATTCTCTGGTTTCAATGCCTCATGTTGAGCTTCGAGAATTTGCTTTTTCAGGTTTGTTTGAACCAACATTCCCATTGCTCGTACTCTCGACGGTTTCACCCTTTTCTTGCGACTTAAGGCATCGGCTACCACGTTAGCTTTCCCTGGATGGTATTTTATTTCACAGTCATAATCGTTGAGAAGTTCGACCCTTCTTCGTTGCCTTATGTTCAGCATCTTTTGGTTTAAGATATGTTGAAGGCTTTTGTGATCAGTGAAGATGGTGCATTTGGTGCCGTAGAGATAATGTCTCCAAATCTTGATTGCAAACACCACTGCTCCTAGCTCCAAGTCATGAGTGGTGTAGTTCTTTTCATGAACCTTGAGTTTCCATGATGCATAAGCAATGAACTTGTCATTTTATATCAGCACACATCCCAAGCCTTGGTGTGATGCATCGTAATATACCATGAAATCCTCCGTGCCTTCTGGTAGCGCTAAGATCGGTGCGTGACATAGCTTATGTTTGAGCAATTGGAACGCTTCTTCTTGCTTTTCTCCCAAATAATGCACTTCATCTTGCGGGATTCGGGTAATCTTTTCCGAACAACCCATCTCAACTCGATATTTGGATAGCCAATCCATACCTACAACTACGTCAAAGCTTCCTAATTTGGTTGGGACGAAGTCTATACTAAAATCCTTTTTGGCTAAGCTTAAAGTGCAGTCCTTAATTACGTCCTTAGCCCTAACTTCTGGACCATTGGCAAACTCAATTGCATGAACTTCCTTCAACCTTTGTCACTTTAAATTAATTTTTGGCTTAAAATCTAATGATACAGAACTTTTATCTTCTCCCGAATCAAATAATATAGATGCATAATGATTAGTCAAGAAAAACGTATTTGTGACCACGTCGGGATCATGCCTAACCTCTTTCGCTCCAATTTCGAATGCTCGGCCCCACACTTGACATCCTAGTTTCCCTGGATTAGCGGGTCTTGCTTGGTCAAAATTTGTTCTTTGCTTCCTTCTTGGGCATTCATTTCGCATATGATCCACACTTCCATACTCAAAACACGATCTCCTTTGACAAGCTTTTGTAAGATGGTCTGTCCTTCCACACTTTTGACAGGCAATGCATTTTCCCATGTGTGGATATCTACATTTATCACACTTAATATTATTTCCTTTGACCGACCACTTGAGTCTGAACTCCGAAGTTTCCCTTTACTCTTCAATTCCTTTCAAATCTTCCTCTAGATCGTTGGTTACTACTCTCCTCTATCTTCCCCTTACCTTTGGTTTTGCTTTTTGCCAACTCTCCAGACTGAACAGCATCATTGGTCAGCCTGGTTTCTATGCTTATTGATTCTTGGAGCATCTTTGGGTTTGCCGATGTGATGTCTCCTTGAATCTCTTGAGATAACCCCAAATGTATCTATCGACTCGATTTTCTTCGGGTGTCACTAGATGTGGTCCTAGTTTTGCTAATTCGGGAATCGAGAAGTATAACCATCTATATCTGCTCCCTTCATTTCGTGATTCCACAGCTCAAATCCCAGCTTCTGGAGTTCACTCCTTGGGCAATACTCATCCTTGAGTAGCTTCTTGAATTCTTGCCATGTAAGCTGATTAGCTGCCTCTCGTCCTCTAGATTGTACCAATGTATTCCACCAGGCAAGTGCCCTTCCTTGTATCAAATATGCACCATATTCTACTTTGTTTCCTTTAGTACATTTACTGATGTGAAGAACATATTCCATGCTCTTGAGCCATGATAATATTCCTACTGCTCCTTCGRTTCCATAGAATTCTTTCGGGTTGCAAGATCTAAAAGATTTATAAGTGAATTCCCTAGCCACCCTCGGCTCTGGATTGTTTAGTTGGTTAGCATTCAGACCAGCAACCACCTGACTGACTATGTTAGGGAGTGCCGCTAAGAGTTGCTCACACACGAGTCGTGCGACTTCCGGGTTCTCTCTTTTTGGGGGCATATTTCTAACTCACAAATTCTAAATCGAAGTTCGGTTATTTTTACTGTTTATCGCTGTAGCTACWTTATTGACTTATGCATGGTATAATTCAATTATCTAATCATGCATCCATGGCAATATAATAACTTCATATAATAAAAGCATTCAAGCATTAATCATCATCATCAATAAAACTCTTAAGGTTAAGGCGAGAGTTGCTATGGTAGAAGCAAAATGGTAGAAAACAAATTAGAGCTTCTGGATGACCAGAGCCTTTGGTTGACCAGAGCCCCTGGTTGAGGTTCCCATACTTGGAACTTCATTTGACTTTTAGCTCATTGGCCTCTGGTTCAACCTTCATAGCAGTCCATTGGATCTCTTGGTCCATCAATTTCAAATTCCTAATATATAGTAAACCGATGAATCGCCTTCCATCGACCTTCTGGTTCCTCATACATAGTGAACAGATGGATCGTCTTCCATTAATCTTTGGTTCCTCATACTTAGAAAATATTTCCCTTTCATAGACCAGAGCCTGTGGTTCTTCTAGCCAGAGCTTCTGGCTCTCGAAATCAAGCCAACTAGAGCTTTTGGACGCTCTTTACTTATATAAAATAGTGGTCCTTATTCAAAGTTAGAACGCAATTCTGACTATGTCCGGGCAATTTCCTACCTAACGCATAGTGCGAATTTTGAATACGGAGGCTATAGAGACTATACCCCTTTATCWATGTCTAGCTACCAAGTATTTAGATACAGAGTTGACCCTCGGGTTGTCTTAGCGCTCTAAATATCTAACTTCACTTTCCAACCAGATCTTCTAGTTAATCAAAGGCGATGGATATTCAAGATTCATGCAAACACACACGATCATGCTTTTTAGGTTTAAGATAAAATCTTTGAATTTGACCTTATTTCAAACACAGCCGACGGGAATCTTTTATCATAATACTTAAGTTAAACAAAGGTGATCAGGCTCTGTTCAATTTGAGTATTATAACACGAATTCCATCATCTGGTTATACTTAATAACTTTGTTTTGAAAACA